TAATTAGCTGAGTTTCTTACAACCTGATGGGGTTTTGGTTTTTATTTTAAGGTACACGCTTATCTTACTCAGAATATAAAGCCTCCCCCACCCACCTAACACCTGCAGCAAAAGCAGCAGACCTTCCAGGTGTGTGTTGCTCAGTTTCTGGCCAGGTTGTCTAGCCTGGGTAGGGCTCACCCTAAGTCACTGTGAAGGAAGCTGCCTCAGACGCAGAGTATGACAGTCGTGTCCAAGGGGTACTTACAGGAAAAGCAGAAGGTTAGAATTTGAAATTGGGCATTATGTATGCAAGAACATGAAGCATAATTGCTCATTTCCCTCTCAAATGAATACATTTGTTTATGATTTTGATTTCTTAAATGCTCAGAAAAGCACATCACAAGTACTTTTGCCTTAATGTTCCTCTAAAAATCCCTAATAACAACTTCATGTGCTTCACAGAAACAGACCATGTGATTTATTCAGGAAAATTAAAACCAGTAATCTGGTTTTCTGTATAAAGATTTTTCCCCCTGCTTGTGCTTGAAAAACTGAAAACTAAAAAAACTAAAAAAACTAGAAAAAAAACCCAAAAAACAAAAAAACCTATCCAAAAAAAAAAGACATTAAAGAAATCTGCATGTGAAAATAAAGCCTCTAAAGTGAATTACTATTCCAGAAAAATCAAGCTAAAAAGAATTCCATAAAAGTAGCTATTTTTATCTCTGCTCCTTTACTGATAAAAGAGATTCCGAGATTCTTACAATTGGACAAGAAAGAAAATGCTTAACTTAGAAGGGTCCCATGCCCAGGAGGATGTGGACATTTTTCTTTGCATTATAATCTACAATAACTTTATCTATAAATCTTGAGCCAGAAATGTCCAGAACAACCACATTTCATAAGCTTTGCTGAGTTGGAGACATCTACATAGCAACAGCGTTGTGATGGGAAAACATTAATGCTTTTTATATGGGTCATCATCTGTAACATGAGCAATTAAGTACAGTACTAATGGACTATGGCCAGGAGCCTAGCACTAATATTAAAAACTGACAGAGATGAATAGGTTTGGGAGCAAAACCAGGCTGACAAAGACATTTTTATGAAGTTCTTGGACCCATTTGATTTAAACCAATCAGAGGCAAGTTTGCACAAGTCGGGCCTTCAGCGACAATGATGTATTCACAGGCATTGTACCATTTCTGCTATGCCTTAAATAAAAACACCCATTGATTCTTTTCAAGCCTCCACTTTCATTATTACACTCATTAATAAACCAAAAGTACCTAACTAATATACAAGTAACATTTACTGAGGAACTGGCTATTTTTTTTCTTGTAGTAAATGAAAACATTTACTGGAATCATGAACCACACTACATGAAAAATACATCAGTTAGATAATGCATAGTAGCTCACTCTTTTTTTTTTTTTTCATTTTCTAGGAAAGCAAAGCTGGAGGGAGGGAAATGGGAAAAGGAGCAAGTCTGTACAATACAATGAAAAGAATAAGAAACCAGCAGTCAAGGAGGGATTCCAATCACTGCAATTTTAGAAGGATTTAAATATGTCTATGCTAGATATTTGGCTACAAAATCCTAATCCTTCTCAATTCCTTGAGACTTCTTGAAAATGGTGGTCCTTCCTTAATCTAAGCATTTCTGCTTTACCCGTGTCCCTGCATCCTGAGACTAGCAAGAATGAAAGAAATACATCACAATCACAAAGTTGTGTCCAAGAGTTAGGTTCTTCTTTGATCTCTGGACAGATATGAATGTCCTCTGCCTCTCTCTGGAATTACAGAGGAAATGTCCAGGGCAGCAGTTCCCAGTCTTTTCCTTCACCGTAACACAGGAATCATGGGTGAACCCTTAAAGGTCATGATTGGTTCAAAGGATGGAAAGTGGCATTATTTTAAGTACAGTCTGATTAAAAATAAATAAATCAGTGACTTTCAAATTTTAGTAGTTATTATTAATTACTAATTATTCATAGCATCCCTTGTATTTAATAACAAAAGCCAAGAGAAATGCCAAGGATATGCTAAGGGCTTGCTAACCCCCCAGGAACCTCTGTGCTCTCCCCTGCTGGGCTATAGTCTCTGCAACACCACTTTGGGTCTGTCAGCCACACATCACACAGCTCTCCAAGTTGAGGTTCCCATTCTGTATGGGAATAGTCTCTCTTGACTCCAATCCACCCCTCTGTATTCTGCTTGGTGATGCTGGGAGATGGACTCTTAAATGACACGTTCGTTTTGTCAGCTGTCTGATGGACAGACAGGGTGCTCCAGGAGTCAGTGCTCCTTGCTGCTTATATCAGTGTCAACCCAACAACAACTTAGCACAACAGTTGGTATCAGTTTTAGTATCTTTTAATAATCTCAGAACAGTTCCAATGCATGTCTTTTGAGATCCAACAGCAGCAGAAGTGGACCCCTCTCAGTCGAACCCAGCTCCCTTCTGGAAGTAGCTCTGGAAGTAGCAGGACTGGGTGAGTGGGTCCCCTTTTCCAGGCCCCTCAATGCCAGCTCTGTGAGCACTCTCCACATTTCTCAATTCTCACACTACAACCTTCTTTCTAGCCTCAGTCTTAGGGAACTGGAAGTTATCAACGCTGAGTTGACTCAGTACTTCCTACTAACATTTGCATAGGCAAATTCTACAGCAAATTCTCTCTGCTGACTCCATTTTCTTTACTGTACGATGACTGATTTATACTAGCTGAACACTTGGTAGATTTGGAAAAATACATAGCTCTTCAAAAAATGTAATGCGATGGGAAATATTTATGAAATATCTAGGCTGATCCCAAGAATAAGGATACATTTTAGAAAATTAGTTGCTAAAGTTTGTGATGGCTCTACTAGAATTTTTCAATTTGACTGATTGAAGGTGTTGGGGAATCTGCTACTCCAGAAAGAGTAATAGTAAATCATGAAATAAAGTACATTACCTTCAAAAGAATATATTGGCATTTCATTGAAGACCAAGGCTATTTTTATTCACATATCTTTTCAAGTAAGTTAAACACACGCACACACACACACACACACACACACACACACACCATTAGAGTCAATTCTCTCCATGTCAAATCTTATCTACTTATTTTTTTACCATGTGGTGATTTGTAATTTATTTGATTAATGTGTTCATTCTTCAACTAGGTGATATACCTCACTGTTAAGATAAACTTCTTTAAAATTTTTTAAGGCTGGGGATTTAGCTCAGTGATTCTGCTGCCTGCATCTCAAAGTCCTGAGTTCAATCCCCAGTACCCTCACCCCCCCAAAAAAAAACAAACCTTTTTTATTTGTTATCTGGTCCCTTAACTTTGATGGTTTAGGTACTAGATACATTTGCATATAAAGGAAAAGGACTTAACTTTCAGCTATTTGAAAGTAGAGTATTTCTTGCTTTTTTTTTTTTTTTTTTTTTTTTTTTTTTGGTACCGGAGATTGAACTCAGGTCCTTGCGCTAGCAAGGCAGGCCACTGAACTGCTAAGCTAAAGCCCTGGCCCAAAAATATTCTGATTAAAGACTGAAGTCAAAAGCAAGTAGACATTATTTACAGGACTCTCACCTGAGGAGATGCTATACTAGGACATCAGCAGAGTATCTTTCATGTACAGTGAAAATGTGTGGGCTTTTGTATTAAATAGTGACAAATGATACAGTATTTACATTTAATGAATTTATGTACTGCACTGAAAAAGTTATAAATAGCAATAATTTGAACATCTATTATCATTTTTTAAAAATCTTTTTGGACCATAGCACTGCCAAAGCAATCCACTGAGAATGCTTTGTGGGAACTTCTCATAAGGTACTAAATCCAACTCAGCTTACTCTGATTATTCCTACAAATGCATTCTACCTTTTGTTAAATGGCCATACTAAAAGAAGACTTTTGTTAAATGCAGTAAGGATAAGAAGATACTGAACTTAAGGGACACATGACTAAGAACTCCTGCATTAAATGGCATTATCTGAGGATGTGTAAATGTCGCCAAGGGTGGGTGTCACCCAGCTATACTGAAGTTGACAGGGTAATCGATGATAACAAGAGAGGAACAAGGACATTTTTTAGGTGTGTTTCACTAGCGAGGGAATTGGTCTGTTTGCTCAGTTAACTAGCTGTGTCCCAACTTGATTCTATTTGTGGCTACTATTTAGACACATGTTCTCTACCCTTCTAGCTGCTCTCTCTAACTCTGAATTTGAAACTAGGGAGCTGAGCCCATCAATGCTTTTGCAGGAAATTGCCAGGTGTACGGAAGTTGACATAACCTAAACTAAGCGTGGGTTTGAAGCACAGAGCTGGGATAGTACATAAATTCCTGAATTGGTCTTCAGATGTGTAGATAATATTGTCCTCATGTAAAGGGGAAAGACTCCTGTGAATACAAGCTTCATAGGAGGCTACTTATGCATTTTTTTCTGGGTTGCATTATCATCACCTTTCTGAAATAGGCAGACATAGTTAGAAAACTATGCTATACAGAGGTTGGCAAGAAGATTTCCTGGATAAAAGACATAGCTGAAGGGGAAAGATATACCAAGATGGGAAAAAAGAGGTCCCATCTGGGCCAGTGCTGTTTAAGAAATGCTTACTTTCCGATGTTAATACAGTTACATGGCGACTTCGCGATAACATTGCAGATGTTTATTTTTCAGAAAGTGCAAGATATTATGGTAAATGAACCTACAGAGAATATCCTGAGTGATCTATGCTGAGTGGAGGGTGGCATGGGGGTGGGTGGGGTAGACTGAGATTGTCAAACAGGTGGTCACAAGATAAAACCAAATTTTTAAAAATCCGATTTTTGCTCCTATATCCAGAGAAAGTCATGTTCTCTAGACATCACAAAGTGATACACCAAATAAAATACCAGAGGGATAGGTTGCTTCCTAAAAGGTTCTTTAGATTTCCTCATCTTATCTTTGACCAAAAGCGTCTTCCAAAGAACATACATTTAATTAAGCAAAGACTTTCCAAGAAATAGTTTCTTACCTTTCATAATGCCTGCGGGTACAAGTGGCGGCGCTGGTGCTCCCAGGATTACCACCTAATTCATCATAAATATGTTTCCATTGGCGGCGGGCTGTTATCTGAAAAAATGGCAACGAGAAATTCAATCTAGCATCATAGGAGATTCACAGTGCCAGGCTTCAATACATATTCAACAGTCAGAAGCGAACAGTCTGTTCTGGGAACCCAGGAACAGAGAAGTCCAAATGAGTATATGGGGAGACTTATGGTTTTACAGTGAGATCTTATTTTACATTAAAAATGGAATTCAACTTTTGGCTCTACATTTTGTCATCCTTCCTGTATTTCTATCTACAGCATTGCCCTGGCTATTCATGCAGCTATTTGCCCCTACGGTCCTAAACTCATATCCTATTTCTTTATGTCATGTAATAAAGAATCAAAATAAAATCGTATTTCAGCTAAACTATATTTTGGTTCATCAACTTAAATGAATCAAAATTAACATTAGTTGCCTGAGGCTAGGAGAGGTAGGTAAACAGACATATAGGCTAAAAAATGGCTTTTCACTAAACATGCTTTTGTATCTTCTGTATTTGATGATGCGTTATCTACTTTTTAAAAAATAAAATTACTACATAGCTTAATGAAAATGATCAAACTGGTTCAGGAATGTACAGTCGTCTCAGGCTGTCTTTGTGCCAGCTCCTCTAACCACCAAAACAAAGTTAAACTCAGAAACTGTATATGTCACAAGCTGTTTATTTTTCTTCACTTAGGTCAGGAAAATGGGATATTGATCAAATCCCATGAAAACCAACATATTCCAAAGTTAAAACACTATGTATATTATCAAGTTGAGTAATAAAAACAAACAGCTTGCAATATACTGAACTGCACACTATGGTCTTGGTTTTTCTCTTTAATTTTATTTTTGTACATAAATTAGGATTTTACAAAATAACAGATGTGAGATCTGGCAAATGATAATTTTCAGGAAACCACGTCACTTACTACATCTGAGTGTCTAATGTTTCCTTGAAACTAGGAAGACAAGTTTGAGGTTCTTGTGGATACTTCTCACTGGGGTTACAGGAAAAAATCTGTTACTGGAATGCGTAGGGAAAGGGTGTGGCAAAGGTGCCACTGGCATTTAATATAATCAGGACAGGAGATTTTTGAAAAATAACCACAGAGCTGCCAGGCAAGTTCACCTAGGGACTAAAGGCAGCAATAGGGGTGGGAGGAGAAAAAAAATCTCCACTTGCTCCTGGCTCTATAGTTGTAATCTAAGGAGAAGATGAGTGGTGAATATTATAGGGCAAATGGTACCTTTTCCATTTCAGATAAAAAGAACCTTTCATTTCCATAAAGCCTTCTCTACAGGCCCAGGTAGTATTTCCAGACAATGTTAGTTTTGCATTGTTCCATTCTCTGCAAAACATTCTTGAACCAATTGGTTTCAGTCGCTCTCATTAGACATAACCACCTTTTGCATCTACTAGCCAGGGTAACTGAAAATAAAATCCTCCATATTTATAGCTCGGATTAGATTCTAATAACTCGATTCAAAACACTTTCAACACAGTCAAAATAAGTATTTTGATAATTATCACACATTTGATTACAATCTGTCTCCAATATTTAAATGACAATCTCTGGTTTGTCTCTTCTATGGTCATTTATCAGGGAAAAGGGAGCACGGCCCCTCCCACCTGCTCAGGACATGGAGACAACCTTGACATACACCTCCATGTTCCCCTCACTCAGATAAGGTCTAGGGCCTCCAGGAAGCACAGAAGGGCACAAAACAGCCAAAGTGTGTCCCTGAGGTCACTTCAAAAGAAACTGGCACTCTAGTCACTCTGTGTCTCTCGTGGCCACTGCATTTCACATCTCATAAAGAAATTTCACTTCCTATTATTCAATCTTCCCATAGCCTGTGACGCATATTATTGAAATCTCATCCACAGACAATGGGAGTGAGACTCAGAAACACATAGGAACCGGATGACAAAACTCAGACCCGTATAACTGTCTCATGGTACCAAGAGCAAACTTCTTTCTATGGGATAGAAGCAGCCACTGCATCAGAATGACCTGATGAATAGCCTATACTTGTAGCAAAGCAGTAACACAGGACTCTGGGGCCTTCCTTCCAATAAGGCAAATGCCTTGGACAGCACAGATTTTGCTATGAATTCCCAGCCTTCAGCTTTGGGACTTTCCCATGATGAAATAAAGCCAAGAAGTCAGCAAGAATCAAAGAAGGTGGACGGGGTTAATGGGGTTTGAAATTTTATTCTCTGAAAGTATGAAAGGGAGCTATGGGTCCTCCACCCTACACACTTGCATCTCTACTTAAAACACAGACTCTTGCATAAGTCCCAACTATATCAGAATCTGTCCAGCTGCTCATTTGTTCATTCATTCACCAAACATTGATTTTAAAATGTCTGCCATCTGTTAGATATTGTGCCAACATCTGGGAAGCAACGATGAAAAACACAGCAACCTGCAGGATGGGTGCATCCCAGTGAGGGCACCAAAAAGAAACACATGAACAGATAGTTCAATCAAAATAGCATAGATCACAAAAAGGGCGACAAACAAGATGACTGTTGATGAGGACATTTTTTGTGTGAAAACTGACCTGACTTCATTCCCACAACCTATCATATAGGCAAGGGAATACCCCATGAAATATTAACTATCACAAAATGACAAGCTTGTTTTAAGAATAAATAATGCATTATTAAAAAGGGAACAAATAAACCTCACACACAGTCTGGCTTGTAGTCCTAAGCAGTTCTGAAGGCTGAGGATTCACCTGGAGTGAAGACAGGACTGGGCCTTTGGAAAGTGAGCTCTGTGAGCCCTAAGTTTGCCTTGCCTGACTCAGGCCCTGGGTGAATCAGCCATTTTCAGATATTGTCCTCCCTCAGGAAAATCATAAAATGTCCTCATCCCTCTGCTAAATGGTTTAAGTATACAGTTCTTCTAGGTACATGGCTCTATTGTTTGGTCTCCAGGTGTACTTTCAGTTCAAACATGATCTTGAGCTCTAAAAATCAAAACATGTCCAAACCCTTCCTTTGTTGAAACCCACCATGAGTCTTAAGAGCCCAATAAGGAGAGAGGAAGGGGCACAAGACCTTCTCCTGCATCCTGTGTGAATCTGTCATCTGCACTAACATGTTTTAACTGTAACCAATGATATATTTGATTGAAGATTTTACTCTGTTTTCCAATGTCCTCTCTGGAGGTGTTTTAGTTTTAAAACCCCACTGGGGCAAATCCAATGTCCGCCTGGCCTCCAACCCCACTCGGCTAGGAAATGTGGTCTAGCAGAGGGGCTTTATTTGATCAATTATGCCACTAAGACTCAGGCCTCCTGGTTACATCCTTTCTGTTGCTAAAAGAAAGTGCATCAGAAAAACTCATCTAAGCAGTTATTTCTCTTGTACCATGATTCCCTTGTCTCTCCTTTAAGGTCCTCGCCTAGATAAGAGAGATTTATGACATCACCACTTACCCCGCTTTCCATTTTAGGGGACTGGGCTGGGTCTAGAGAGGTATGGAGGTGGAGGGAAATGGAGGAAGGGAGGTAGGGGGCAGAGAGATATCATGGAAAGAAAAGGATGCTACTGCTTTCAAGTGTTCATAATTCAGTAGTAACATAACCCCATAAAACAGCACAGGATGCAAAGCTGAGCAGACACACCCAAGTAAAACAAACCTATCTGTGCATAAGTGACTCTTAATCCCACTTAGAAGACACTTGAAAAGTATGTTTTTCCCTAGTGCAGGTAAAATATTAGGAGCTCTGAAAAGCACTTCATGCCTATTATTCTCATAAAGTTTTCATTATTTATAAATACAGTGGTTTTCAAACTGCTATTTAGAACCCAGGTGGTGTTTTAAAGGTGTTCTGAAATTAACTCTCCTCACTGCCAATCCCGGTGGAGAAAACAAGTCCAGTGAGAGGAAAAGGAATCTTTCCCTTCCGGTTTTCTTTCATGAAACTGTCTTGTCACATTAAAAAAAATAATAAAACTTAGAAAACCACTGCTTTAACACAAGAGTCCTACAGCCTTAATTTCTCTGTCTCTGAGGTGGCTGGCAGTTAGAAATCCTTTTTGGACCCAAGTTCTTCCAATGGCTGAAGAATGTGTAGGAAACATGAAGTCAAGAAAAGTGTCTGCCTGAACAAAGTGCTGCTGGGGCTGCTCTGAGAAACAGCTTCTTTCTCAGGACACCTTGAGGGTGGACTGAATTCAAGGAAGATGACTTTTTTTTTCCTGGTAGTACTCCAGGAACTGGAGCCTTTCAAAACTGCATGACATCATCTTTGGCCTCGAGAATTTTGAATTAAGCCAGAGGCTTTGTCCAGAAAACTAGGGTTGATTCGGAAGATGTCTTGAAAGTGATGTCAAAACCAGAATTTTATGTCAAAACCTAATCCTTCCAGCAAAAAGACAAGTGAGTTCTTCCAGATTAAAAATCATGGTCTGTCTCAACTAGTGGGAAGAAAAGGGGCTGCTAACAAATTCTCTCCGAAGGTACAATTGTGTGTCATCCTTTGCCTCTAGGATCAGATTTATTCAGCACACATTTCCCTCCTCTACCTTCTCTCCAAGTATTTCACCTGGCCTGCCCTCAAATGGTTAGCCAAATGGAAGTTCCTCCAGCATACCACCCTCCATATGCTGCATTGTGCTAACACCCTGACCTACTCTTCCGGCATCAGTTGCTCCCCAAGACACTGCAATCAGGCCTCTTTAGCTCTCAGCAAACACTTATCCAGTTAGTCTGTAGGTGATCCATATACTAATGTGTTTGATGACTGCAAAAGAAGAGTCCTCAGTGCTAACCAGTCAAAATGCCAGACTATTATTCCCTAGAAAATCAAATCTGTTTAATACCTTTATGATTTCTAAATCTAAAAGTGAAGAAATATTTTGTACATTTTCAGCAAAGGAAGAAAGGGCTGAGACAAAATGTACACAGTCATTAGTCATATGCTATAAAGACTTAAAATAAAACTTCTGCTCCTCTTTTTTTTTAAAATTCAAGTTGAGGGTTATGAAGGACTGAAATGAAATAATCCATAATCCACAATTCAAACCAGAAGGTTTGGAATAGTTTATAACCACAAACAAAAACAAGCCAATTAAGATGGCCTCTTTTTATAAGCAGAAAAAATTCCAGAGAGATGTCTTTATCCAATAGCAAGTTAACAGCAAAAACAATATATCTACAAATGTTCTACTTGCAGTTTTTGACTGCTATGAATATTTACATTATCCACATTTATTGACCTGTCTCCTAAATGCACATATTTTTCTCAAGAATCAGATACTATCTCTACTAATAACTTAAACATCTGTTAAAGCTTATGTTAGGTACAAAGAATGGACTGAAAGATACCATTGACAAAATCAGGTTATCAGAGCCTTTTTCCAAACATCATTATCATCAGGTAGGAAACATTCTGGATATATATGAAATTGCTAGGACTAGAAGGCACTGAAATGATCATGTATGAATCCCTTTCCTCACAGTGATGCTGTAGCAATGGATACAAGTGCATACATATTTCCCAGCAAATAAGAATTTGAAGAATTCTGTAGTGACCTTGTGCAACTCATTTCATCTTCTTGTGCCTTGGTTTCCTCATTTGTAAAATGAGGTTATGAACTGAACGGAGGAAGATGTTTTTGCACAGAGGCTAATTCAAGAAAAATAAATCGGTAAGAATGCTGCACTTTTCCTCAATCAAAATGAAAATAGTTGAGTATCAACTTACACTACCACTTTACAGAGTAGAAAAATACTCATCAGAAATTTTGTGCTGCTCTTGAGCTTAGGAAATGTTAATGTTCTACCATGTTTATAATAGCATCTACACAAAGACCGATTTCTAATCTTTGATGTTTGTCTTAGATGAGGATCTCATTTTGAAGTGAGGTACCATGGAAGACAACAGGACCATTAATTAACAATCAGTGTTGCCAAAAGCTTTGAATTAACATCACCAGAACAGCATGAAACAGAAGGATCCTCTAGTTCTTAGGCTCAGGCCCACTGAGAGTTTATTCCTTGAGGTAAAGACAACTGTTTATACTTCAAAGTTTCCCACTGAAAACCTGAGCTGCAGTTCTTGAGTAAGTAGCCTTTGGGAGCCTGATCTAGATGACTCTAAGACTCTTTGAGCTCTAAGTGATTCAAGCCTCTTCTGCTTGTTTCCGGTATTAGACAATCTCAGAGATAAATGTCTTCTAGTAACTCTGTGATGACACCCTAAAAAGTTCTCAGAATCTGGATATCATTGTACATTTCCTGGCCTGACTTCAAAACTGAATCCTCATTGAACTTCTCACAGTTGTATTAGTCAAAATATGCCAAGAGAAAAATGTGTTCTGTACTTAGGAGGTCCAAAAGCTTAGACATAGAATGATAGTGGCAAATTTATGTGCCTAGGAGCCAACAGGAAGCAGGTAGTAGAAAGGAAGAAGGGAAGAAAGGAAGGAATGGAGAAAAGAAGGGAAGAATTTCTTTAAAAATTCTGTTCCTAACCAGATAAGGGGCAGATGCCAGTCTGGTCTTAGATATCCCCCTACCCCAGTAAAAGGATCAGAATCTTTGCATAAGGACTCTTGCATAAGGATCATGAGCCCTGAAGGCAACTGAAAATCAAATGCAAGAATTCTCTGCTCTTCCCCTTCTCTTCTTTTTTTTAAAAACGTTATTTATTTATTTATTTTTTGGTACCAGGGATCGAACTCTAGACCTTGAGCTTGCAAAGCAGGTGGCGGAACCACTGAGCTAAATCCCAGCCCTCCTCTTCTCTTCTAAAAAGTGGCATAAATTTTACTCTGTGAATATATCTTCAAGCACAGAACCAGAGAAAAACAAGAGTGATTTTTATCACTAGAGACAGAGGTTAACAGCCTTCTGTGCAGCCTGCTCCCCACAGCATACGACATAATCCTGGGGGGCTGCATTCTGGGTCTTTCCTCACTTGACTCCACCTTCTTTGCATTCTTCCTACAAAATCTCCTTTCTGGTTACTGGTCCCAGCCACCTGAGCCACCTACGTAGTTACTCGAACTCTCTGTGCTCCAATTTCATTTGACATCTATTTGACTCATCCTCTCTAGCAGGGCATAATTGTTCACGTCTAAATCCCATCCACTCTTCCCAAATCTGCTCAAGTGCCATCTGAGCCATCATGCCTTCCTTCATCCGTAGCGGGGAAAGTGTCTCTAGAGGGCACCAATCTTTTTCCATCTTGTCCTGTAACTATAGTTACTGTTTTTCTTGAATGGTCAGCAACTTAAGGACTAGCGTCATTATTTCTATATTTTGCTTCTTCTGCAGTGTCTAACACATGCCTTGTACGCATAAGACATCCAGTATGTTATCAAGTGATCTTCTGATTATATGGTCATCCATTCAATTAATAAAGGAATAAATACTAGCTTTTTTTCAGCAAAGATACCACAAATGTGTTGAAACTCATCAGGAGTTTCTTCTGTATATTCTACATCAATTTACTGTTGCATGGGGAAAAACATCTTTGTAAAGATACAGAAGATACAAAAGCAGGAAAACTGATTCTGTGAAATTTGCTGGCACTGTTCCTATCAGTGAATAACAAAAAGTTCCCGACTTTGAAAAGATGTTTCATAACATTGTATAATATCATGTAGCTATCTACATTCATAGCTCATAAAAATGTTTACTAGTCTTATATTTTGGTACTGGAGATTAAACTCAGGTCCTTGTGCTTGTGAAGCAGATGGCAGAACCACTGAGCTAAATCCCTGGCCCTGTACTTCTATTCTTAACATTAAAAGTTAGACTTAAAAGTTTGGACTGTGGGGTTGACTCCCAAGTTTATGAAACTGTTAACATCTTTTTCACATGGATGAAAGCCATAATTAGATTAAGATTTTACAAAACCATGAGCTACAGTAGCAGAGTCCATATCTTGGTCCTATCAACAGATTCAACTGAGTGAAAAAATCATAGTATTTATTTTTACATAAGGTACTCGATAAATGTTTCCATGAATTTCACATTTACAAAATGTGCATTTGCATGTAGTTCATTATAACCTTTCTTTATAAACACAGATGCAGTCGTATATAAAATTAACATTTTATATGTACATATACCCACATCAAAGAACTTTTAGTCAGAATTCACAAAACATATCTCTATAGTAAATACCAGATTATCTGAATCATGTATTATTTGCCATCTTTTCCCATTCTAAGCCCCTGACATTGAACCATTATATTAGTTTATGGAACAATACACTTTATCCGGCAAGAAACACGGGTTATTACGTTTGAGCTAAAATAAATTTTATTTTTTTGACTTTCTGTCTCTTACTGTCATTTAACTATGGAACAGAGATATCCCAGATTACTTCTTAAGGAAAGAAAAAATAATTTCTTACTCAATTGCAGAATAAACTGCACAATTTAATCTGATCATTGTGTGGAGGAAAAAATATTTCCAGTGACGACATCTTCCTATGTCAATTGATTTTATTACAGATGTCATCTCTGTGTGCTATATTAATGTAGCTCTTTTTTCTTACTTCAAGATCTTAATCTCAGTTTGTTCCTCTAGCATTTTATTGGTTCAGAATACATGCTGTAAAAATCCATGGCCATTAAATTTTCCCGTGGGCTAAAAATAGCCCATTCCTGTCAGTTAGAATTAGCTGATAAAAGAGTGTCAGAGCCTGTTCTGAATAAGTTTGATAACTTCCTGTTTATGCAGCATTGACCCTTGTCTAATAAAGCTTCTTTGCCCTAGAATGAGAGGAGATTCTGTTGCATTCTATTCCTTAATGGCCAATCCTGATTACTTTTGAAAGCCTTTAATACATTTCCCATATTAGACATGAACAGATGTCAGGTATGTTGCCAAGGGAAATTTCTTTTATGCAATCTTGGCTTGTTGTACAATAATAGCCCTTTCTCAACATGGGAAAAAATTACAGACCCAACTAATTTCCCTGACAGGGGAGAGTTACACATGTTTTCCACTTGTAGTTTTTATGACAAGTTTACAATTTTGCCAAACCTGGAACTAATTGGGACTGTTTCCAAAAGCAGCCCAATAAACCCCCAAAAGTGTAGAGCCATTTGAAAAAGCAGTCAATGATAGTTTGCTTTTGCATTTTCTCCATTTTGGCCAAAGAGAGGGGGAAAGTTAGATTGCAAAAGTATTTCATTTAAGTTGCTTAAACACTTACTGTTTCATATCCTCCCAGTTTTTGAGCAGCTTGAAACATAGTCCAAAGGTTAACTGTTAGAGGGACAATAAGTATTTAGATAAGCATTGCATTAACATAGTTCCAAGAAACGTCAATTAAAACATTTTGTTTTGTTTTTTCAATGAGAAAGAGAAAAAAGAAAGAAATACTAACATTACCCCAGAGAGCTAAATTCTTAGGAAACAATTTGCTAAAGGGCATTTAACAACAGAATCTATTATTACCACTTAAAATATTTCTTAAGAAACAGTCACAAAACTACAGAGTTGGTTTTACTTTTAGGATAAAGGACAACATGGTTTCAGTCATCAGCAGACCAAGAGAGGCTAAATTAGAGCAACCTTGGAAAAATGTGGGAGGTTTCAAAATTGGGGTTAGTCTTACTTAGATTTTAGAAAGAAGTTATTGATTGGCCAAGCAGTAGTAACATGTAGCACTTCCCTCAGATAAGACCTCTCTGTGACCAATAAATAACAGCCATACTAATACACGATAACACTCACAATAGATTGTCTGATGGCAACACTGCATTAAGAGCTCATGTTGTATTTCACTAACCTATGGAGCTTTGCACAGAGTAGGGAAAACTAGTATTTCATGTGCATGGCAGCAGTGCTACATGGATCAAAGGAAAAAAGACATTCATTCACAGAGGAATGGAATCATGAGACCACTTAGTCCCCTAACTTGCTAGTGTGGTGATATGGCAAATATATTTTTTTCCAAACAGATTTTTTTTTGCAGAGTTGGCAGATGTCTATGCTGTTAAACAACTATGCCTGGTTGCCAGCAACCTTGTTCATTTGTGCAGATTTGATTCTTTTTATAAAAGGGAAAAATTGAACTTCAAGTAATTCCTTGGTAAAAGAAATGAATAAAATGAAAATTAAAAAAAAAAAGGCTCTTTGACACAACATGTTTGCAAAGCCTCATTGAACCTTGCACTATTTCAAAGCTATCAAGAGCCCTGCCTCGGCCTTGATTTAATCTGAACCAATGCATAATGCAACAAAGCTGTTCATAGTACATTAATTTTACTTCTATTTCAAGCAACCAGTTTTCAGACAAACATTGTAATCATTCCTAGTTATATAAGTTTATAATGGCTGCAAGTGTTCTCTTGCAATCAGTGCCAATTGCTATTAGGTATGTAAATTGTTATGTAAAACATACAAGTTTGACATTCTTCATCAAAATGACACATGGTTTTAATCTAGGAAGATGAGATTGGAGAAAACAGTATTTCAAGCCAGAGGCTCATCGCTCTGTGTACCACTAAAGCCAAACAGAGGCAAATATATATTCAGTTGTGATTGGGGCAAGATCTGATTTCTTTTCTTGTTATGTGGCATTTTGTTCAGCCATGGGTTTCCTGTTCTAATTATACACAATGATACTTTAATATGCACCTTAAAGTTATTAAAAGCAGGGCCCTCTGTTCACATCTTCAAATCTGCTTATTACTTCTTTCCTCTGAGATCAGATTTTCATTATATTTTCTTTTTTTACTTTTCCTTTCTTCTTCTTACCCGCCCCCGCAATTGAACCCAGGGCCTTTGCACTGAGCTACATTTTCAGCACGCACCCCTCTAAATTTTGAGACAGGGCCTCTCCAAATTGCTAAATTGACCAGGCTGGGCATGAATTTGTAATCCTTCTGTCTTAAATCAACCAGTATGCTGGGATTACTGGCCTATGCTATTATGTTTGGCTAAATTTTTGTTATCTTTTAACAAATTTGGGGCTTTGGAAATGTGTTTTCTTTTTGTGGTTGTTTTGTCCACCTCTAAATGTCTTTCTTATAAAAGCTGTCTTTTCACAGGCAACATCTGTGCCTGATAAGACTACGTCACATTATTATCTCACAAGAAAGGCGTTACAGACACTCAAGATTGACAAAACAAAAAATGTGAAACTCTCAACATGTCTATTTCCAGTCATAATCAGTGGATTTAAGCCTATAAATATCTCACTGCAACTGTCTCAGAAGGGAACAATGTAGCGGAAAGAGGCAGGGAAAAAATTCTTGGCTTGGACAATTTGTAGATTTAGTATAAATAGAGAACATCATCAGCCCCAGATTAGAATTTCAACATAATCATGAGCGAAAAAAAATGTTTTTCCCCAATTTAAAAAATCAGTGCAATTTTGATATTTCAGAAGTGAAAACAAGTATACTTACTCTGTTTAAAACCTAAATAGGGTATTCTTTCAATTGGCGTCTTCCTTTCTTTCATGTATTTATAAAGTGCCACCAAGAAGGCCTGCTCATCTGCCCTGCACTCTTCACCAATGGCCAACTTTGGTTTTTCTTCATTTGAGACTTTTTTACAGTTATTGTGGTTATTCTTCGGCTTGGCCAAGGCTGACCTGGCCTCACATTTCACCTGGAAAACAGAAAATATACCATATCAAAACAGGTACAGTCTGAGAATGTGTTTACAAAGATAAAGCTGGTGACATATTCCACTGAGTGGGAAGGAGAAACCCGTAAGAATAAGCCTGCCCTAAAATAGCTTCTTAGAGGCATCACTGGATATACACTGTCCTAGACCATGAGTTGGTACATTTCTGTCAAGAGCCGCCTACTAAATTACTAAGGTTTTGGACTTCATGGTCTCTACTGCAATCAGTTGACTTCTAGCATAAGAATATGAAGTGAATGAGTGTGACTGTGTTCCAATAAAACTTTATTGACACAAACATGTGGCCAATGAGCCACAGTTTGCCAAGCTGCCAGTTTCTTTTAGACCCCTTATGAATATACTGATGTGAAACCAGAAAAATAGTGTTTATATCTGGTAGGAACATTGTTCTGCTTCTTTATAGATACCATGTTCCTAAAGGCATTATTAGTTAATGTCCTGAACAAACCTTGCCTTCTTAATAAATTATGCACTTTGTATCAAAATGAATGGCAAGTTTATTTCTTCATGGTAAACATATCTTGCTAGTACTTATGCCAGCAACTTGTCAATGCCAGAAGATGCTGGGACCAGGAGTATCAGCAAGGTCTCTGTTGCCTGTCTCCTGAAGGTAAGGCTTGGATACACGCTCAGCAGGAAACAGAAGATCCTGCTCTTTAATGGGGACTTCTTGCTTTTCAGTCAGCTCTGAGAAGATAATAGCAGACGTTCACTGATCACAAAGAAAGAGTGGAGGTCAGCTAAAAACCCAAGGAGACTCAGTGAAAGCTCTAAAGTTTAGAAATAAATGGTGGTAAACGCTCCAGATGTTCTTCCTTCCACACTATGGGCGGGTATGAAACTCGGCGTATGGAGCTGGCTAACCTAATGTTCCCTCCTTGCTGCCGTGTTCTACAAGAGGCCTTTGATGGTTGTTAAATATAACGCTAAGTTGCTGAGCTATTTTAATTATAAAAGGGGGAAGTACAAAGGGTCAGACTTGGAGTTCAAGTGCACCCATGGGGAATGTGTACATTCCAATATTCTTTACATCTCTGTATCTAACATCGGGCAGGAAGAGGGCAAGTGCTGGGGAAATGTTATGAATAAAAATGTCCCACATATTCTGCAGTGTTCTCTTTTTTAGGTATTTGAATCCTTTTTCTTTCCCTGCAGATCATCCTTCCAAACACTAAGAACATAAAAGACTTTGCTTATTTATTAAAGAAAGGAACCTTCCCTGCAAGGTTTTTCTTTATTGCTTATTCTCTCAAGTGAACACACTAGTTTAATATCTTTAGAATGGTCTTGGATAAATAGAACTTCCTGCATAAGTCATCCAGCAGAGCCTCTAGAAAAGATTTTAATTTTTAAGGAGCCGTGAAAATGGAATTAAAACTTTTTTCCAAGTGTAGAATTTTTACTTGCAATATTTAAAAACTTTAGTACTTCATGATACTACATGAAGGTGAGCGTCTTGTGAAATGATGTTGTCATCATTTTTCACATCCATTTAGGCTTTGGAGTCTAAATTCTGATGAAATTTATAATTTAATGGTTTTTTGAAATGCTAAAATCATATGAGTTTTAATCTGTACTGCCTTCCAGCCTATTTTTAGTGTTTACTAGGTAGCCAGGCCCAATTGTAAGTGACATTAAGTATTAGTTATTTCATTTCATGCTCACAACGGTAATGAGGTAGGTTATTAATCTCACAACTGAATTACAGGTAAAATGAATAACATATACAAATTTGTAAGATCAAGCACAAATTCCTAGTCTCTGGATAGAACTCAGATTGTCTTACTCTAGGGCTTGTAGTTATGAATACTATGCTTTGCTGACACTTTAAATAAAAATGTGAAATTCGCCATCAAAATAAACTTCCAATTAAAAGCCTATCCTATTACTAGGCATTACAAACTTGTTGCTTAGAAATGTGATTTATCAAATGAGACACAGATGTGTAGACTAAGCCCTTGAAGGAAGCTGCTATCAATGGGGCACTTACAGTGAGCTAGATACAGATTTTCCCTTAATGTCCATAACAATTGTAAAAGAGAGATGTTTAACCCATTTTCCAGTGGAGGAAACTGCATCCTGGTGAGATCATGAATCTTTCACATGGCAGTAGTCTGGGGCAGTAGTCTGGGTTTGAAACTCAGGTCTGCCACACTGAAAACCCAATCTCATAGAAACAGAAGTAGAGCTAAGGGATGTGTATAAAACAGGTAGAGGCTTCACACATAGTGCTAAAGGGCCAATTCACCCATTCTTAGGATCAAATGCTACTAATAAAGGAATATGAGGGTTACTCTTCAGTGTCCAGATAGCTGCTTAACCCTCTGCCATATCTGCATGGAAACTTTCAGAAATAAAAAGAAAGCACATGGGGTGGGGGGGATCACATCCAAAGTAACTGGGACTCCCCGCTTCACGGAAAAGGCTCCAAGTGAAACCAGGGTGCCACCTACTGAATTCCATGCTGAATCTCAGTGGCTTCCCAGCAGGCTGCTCCCAGGGAGGCCAGGTGCTTGGTAAGAAGTGAATGGTGGCTTCCTATTTTAAGCCAGCTTGGTACATTTTTTTCAGTTAACATAAGTGAGCTCTGTAGGATAATATTCTATTTCTGGGCAAAACTCAAATTCTTTTCTCCACTTATACTGAAAATATTGTCCGTATTTTAATCTCCTGAATTAATAGAGAGCAGGTGTCAATGGAAATGAGAGCCAGTCTTCATGTTGACCTCGAGAAAGACCAACCTTTTGATTGTGACAATTAATTGCTAGAACTGCGTTTCTTAACCTGCATACCGTACACCTGTGGAGTCCACCAAGCATTCTGGGATTTCCAAAGTGATTGAGGAAGTGATAATTAGAGACTCTACCTTTAATGTTTTCATTTTCAATGAATCACCACCTATTTGATATTAACCACATCCTCCCACAGGATTGAGTTACAACTAATCTAGCCTCCAACCAGGGCAGAAAGATGTGCTGAACCAGCAATAAACTAGCTAGAGTTCTAATCATGGTTTGGTCACTAACTTCCTCAGTGACCTCCCGTTTCTTCCTTGGTGAAGCAAGGACAATCCCTAGGGACATTTCTGAGGACCAAATGAGATGAAAAATATTGAAAGTATTACATCTGTGACATAGTAAAGTATGTTTGTAATTTAAATGGAAGAACATATTGCACACCATAGTTTCCTTTTTTAGGTCCCTTTTAGAATATAAGCCACCTGTTTTATACTTCTGGTCTTTTAAAAATGCTTATAAAATATGAGAAGTCATTTGAGTTCTATCAATAGAGGCCAGTGATGAGGGACATGGGCCAGGAAGGTTTCTCTGTTATATATCACACTATGAAGAAGCCTGGGCTGCCGTTCTGCTGCTCTAAGTTGATCCCAGGAAAATGGCCAGATTGATTCTCATGACATCTTCAGAGAACTAGTATGTCTTTCCTTGTGTCACTTTTGCTGTTTTGGAGAAGCCACAGAATCTTCTCTCTGGAAAAGCAAGGTCTTGCAAAGCTGTTGTCATGTTCTCATCAAGAGGGTGTATATAACCTTTTGATGGTGACAGGTGAATTACCAGTCACAAACACAACAAACCCAGTGGATCCCACTCTAGGAGCTTTGCTATGTGGAGCTGCAGGAAGCCAGCATTTATCTATAGTTAGAAGTGGTCGGTTTGAGGCCTTTTTGAGAAAAATGACCATACAGGTCTTAAAGTCAAACAGCTCTCTGTCGCCTAAAACATTTTTTTCAGTTCAGCAAATGATAGGATGGTCACAGGCTTATGATCTCTAATATAATATTTCATGGCAAAAGACTGCAGTAACATACGAAGGTCTTTCTCATGGTTATCTTGGTCCTAGATGTGGTCTATCCATTTTGTAGGATTTTTCAAACAGGTGTCAATGGAGAAATTCACTGTACTTCACACCTACCAGTATTTTCCAGCTAGTTAAAATGGTTTTACCAGACTTGCTGGAAGGGTCCAAGGCAGAATTGTAATCCAAGTCCTCAGAAAAAGCCAACCCATAAAACCAGTCCCCAGGACCTGACTACATTGTGATATTCCTCCATTCACAACTGAGCACGAACAGTGGAAGGATGATCTGTCTCCTCATAAAGTTTCTGAATGGGAGCTCTGAGAGATAGGAGATGGGATAAAGGGGTCATGTAGAAAATTGGCTTGTCTTCCATCCCTCCTACAGAGAACAGTCAATAGACATCTCATGCAGTCCATCTGCAGAGCAGGCTCCTGTTTTCTTCAATTTGATGAGCCTGATCCTGAATCCAGAGCTGTCTTCCATGTAAGTGGTGTTTGTTTTCAGATCAGTGTTATGAGTTTTATAAATTTCCCAGGGACAAACTTTGGTAGTGACTCCAAATGACAAGTGAAGGAACTTTATGCTTCTGGGCTTGGGCTCAGAATATGCTGGAGTAGGATATCACCTAGAGGTAGGGACCGGCACCAATAAAAGGCACAAGCAATGCAATCTCTGCTGAATGTTGTGTCCTAAAACCTTCTTGCTCCGTCTGCAGTATCTTGCTGGAACTGAGACCATGAGCCACTGGTTCTAGGGCTGAACGTCCAACACACAAGAAAACTTCTTTCATGGTATTCATGAGCTCTCACTTACAGAAGGTTAAATGAGCAGAACAAAAGTAACTTTAAGAAAAGATAGGAGGTTTTGGTTTTTTTTTGCCAGAAAATGGAACATATATACATTTCTATTTATTGAGCTTCTTTTATCACTTTGGAATCTTGGCAGCATGAAAAAAATCCTAATCAAAAAAGTCCTCAGATAGTAGAACTTTGTCTGAGGAACAGCTGGTAAAAAGTAATCATACTGGACTACTAAGATATGTAGAATGTGAATGTCTAGGATTTAGTTTATTACACTGCGAAGGGGTTGGAGTACAAGTAAACACATAGTACACTGTCTGCACAGAACTGAATTATTTTTCTCTTCCAAATAAGATTCTCCCAAATTCACCATTAGTCATAATGCTCTCATTTCCAGATTATTTCTTGGATCTGGAAACATGTCAGTTTGATTCTGGTCTTTGATTCAGGTCCTAAGTGGACTCTTGCTGTCTTTGGCTCAGAAATAACATCTACACACAAGAACTCAATAATGAGAATGTGGAAATCTGACCCAAGTCCACAAAAGTCAAAAAGACAAGTCTAAAAATATGAAGTCACATTGGACTTTCCATTGTGCTAAGTATTTCAGGCATGCACTCTGAAGATTCTGAAGAATGCTTAGGCAAAATGGGGGTGGGCCAAAATTAGTCTAGAATTGGAGCTTTCATTCTGCATTAACAGATTAATTTTTAAAAACTTATAAATGCATATGAATGTATATACATGTAAATATTCTGCTATGTATCTTTACTTTTACTTTAATGTAAATCTGAGGTGACTTGAGAAGTATGTAACTTCAAAAGATTAATTCTAGCTATTTCTAATTTCATCCTCTGCTAATCTCTGAAACATATTTAGATGAACACATTCAGAAAGAGGATGTTTCAGCTGGTCTATTTTTGATTCAAGCAGAGTAAACTATGTCATTGTGTCACCTACTATGAAATCTCGGCCTCAATGACGTGGGCGCTTAATCATCTGTCCTTTACCCAACCGGTCAAACTGGGAGGTGGGGAGCCTTTCTATTGACTAATCAAAATGCCTGACTCCCACTACCCCCGAGGCACTAGGGAGGGGAGGTGGCAGGAACAGACATTGCACAGGGCTTCTGCATACCAAAGTCAGATTCTGAATTGAAAATTGCCACGAAGACACAAAAGCAGAGAGCAAGAGAAAAAATATACAGCAATCACTGAATGATTGATCTTACCTTGGCAACAGCTTTACCATCGGAATTATTGTTGGAATCCTTAACTCCACTGAAGGAATCTCTTCTCTGTGGGCATGCTTTCTTTTTGCGTGGTCTGCCTTTAAGATTTGGCGCTAAAAACAAACAGAATAATTGATATACATTTTCGCCAGAACAGGTTGCCTAGATAAAGACCCACAGTTTTACTACAGGGGTCTTCTCCGATTATTCAGTGAAAAGTACGTATTTGTGGCAGCCAATTTTCATTAGATGCTTCTCTGAAGGGTTATACTTTGGTATTACCAATGCTTTCATTCTTTATCATATCTAATTAATTAATATAAATAAAATGAAGCTTAAAGGATGATAAGGAAAATGCTCCTCCCACTGTTAGAAAAGAATCCTTGGAGGCTGAAAGACAACACTGAACCAGCCTCTGAGATCATTCCTTATGTTTTGTTTCTGTCTTGTTTTCTGAAACCTAAATGACATCAACCCATCATGATATCATAGGCATGTAACATTTGAAAACATTTCTCTTTGAAAGTGTTTGGAGACATGAACATTTTCACAAATTATCGTACAAATTAAGGGGAGAGAGAGAGAGAGAGAAAGAGAGAGAGAACACTACTGAGAGAAGCATTAATAATAAGCCACCAAGTATTAGTTCATATATTTACTAATAATATTTTGACCAGCATGTTTCAAATCTCAACATATCTAGCAGATATATGTAAATCAGCATGCTTTCTTTTCCTTCTCCATATATTTTTATGAAGATCCGGAGGGTTATATGAAATAAATTTTAAAGATT